CCAGGTCACATATAATGTTTCTGACTTTCCACCTGGCTTTAAACCGTTTAGATTGGCCAAAAGATGTAATATTTTAATGAAGCTAAATGAACAAGTTTCTTTGAAAATTATGTGGTTGCCCACTAAATTTGAATGTAATTGGTCTAGACCTCGGTCTAAATCTCACATCCCTAACATACAAAATGTCAATCCTCTGGTTGACTTTTTGCATGTCAACTCAATATATTTACCTTTTCTAAGGATGATATTAATACAATTTTTGTAGAAGCCATTAAAATATATTAATAAAACTTTGAATATAGGTCAATAAGATGTCCAACTTTATTGTTATCTATTCACCAATTCTTAGAATAATGAAATTGAATTGTTTCGCAATATTTTTGAATTATAGTTTAGACTATACGTGTGAGTATTTCTCCGTCTTTGATCCTCCATCCGAACTTAGCCCTTCCTTACTTGTTGATTATAATTCACAATTGTGACACATATAATGTACTATATGATATATAGTAAGCTAAAGAAATATTACTCTGTAAATTTTAGACAAGTTTACTAGCAATTTTATTTATAAAACGTTAATTTTACGAAAACAAGTCAACTAGATGTCATTAAAAAATATATGATAACTTGTAGATAACAAATTGAGTCAGAGTGAGGATAGTCTGAAGAGTTTAGAATATACTAATAGTTAAGCACGAGTATGCACCTGTCTCTTATACACATCTAGATGTGTATAAGATCCGTCTTTGATCCTCCATCCGAACTTAGCCCTTCCTTACTTGTTGATTATAATTCACAATTGTGACACATATAATGTACTATATGTTATATAGTAAGCTAAAGAAATATTACTCTGTAAATTTTAGACAAGTTTACTAGCAATTTTATTTATAAAACGTTAATTTTACGAAAACAAGTCAACTAGATGTCATTAAAAAATATATGATAACTTGTAGATAACRAATTGAGTCAGAGTGAGGATAGTCTGAAGAGTTTAGAATATACTAATAGTTAAGCACGAGTATGCACAGATCGATATACATAAACTTTCATTTACCGATTCCAACACTGACTATATGTACATATATATAACATAATTAATCACAGAGCTTTTTAGACAGCTATGATAAAATAATTAATAAAGATAACTGAAACATGTCTAATTCTAAATTGGTGACAACATCACATTAATTTAAAAATACACTGTAAAACTACTCAAAATTTTCTATCACTGCATCAAAACGGGAGTTATTATAGTATGTAAGTAAGTAATAACTAASTTTCCAACCTGAATCTTGGAAGAATAAGCATTAATTGGTAAAATCAGTCGAGTCTACCTAAAATKWACTCTCCTTTACATGAATTATCTTACTTGTGTATATTACAAAGTTAAGGATTTTCCGTAATGTTTTAAAAATCATTGCCGACAAGTACCCGGGCTCGAATAAGTTCTAGCCGAGACGCCCAATTTCCGACCACTWTATGCAATAACTGGGGCCGTATGTCAGCAGTAACCCACTGAATATTCCTGCGCTTATCTGCATGGACAAGAGGTTTCAYATAACCCCACAAAAAAATTGTCCAGCACAGCTAAATTTCAATCGCAGTCAGAGCGGAGCATCAAATCGAGTTTATATTAGAATTCATGTTTGTTATTTTTTTCTGTTTTGCGGATTTCTTTCTTCTGCGCTCCATCATTATCCGCCGTCTCGAGCAGCGCATGTCACGTCCCACCCCACGATGTTGGAGCCCATGCCAAAAGTTAACGAAGCGAGGTAATGCTCTCTTCAAAATCGATGGAAATCGGGTTTAAGCCTGTCCCAGCTGTTTTGGAGTACGTCTGTTCATTCAAAATTCGCAAACTAAACTGAGTATAAATCAAGTCAAAAGTGCCAACTCCAAAAAAAAGACTCATTAAAACCACACACTTCAGAATGTAGGGGAATATATGCACCGGTAACCTCTATTAATATAAAAGAGTTGCCAAATGTAAAAAAATGCCTTTGATTCAATATATTTATTGATGCTCGAATTACTTAGGTTGTCTTTTATATTTCGAGATTTGGCAACGYTAGTGTTGCAATCTGGAAACTTACAAATTTACCGTAAAGTTTAACATTGTTGATGGTATGCATACCCTTAAAATACGAGTGGTATTTGCGTTTTTACAGTAACTTAAAATATTCTTCTCGGCGAAAAAATGGCGAACTTAATTCAATTTTTGGCCACATATATATATATATATAATGTATATACGTACATATCTATGACATTGTGATAATTGATGAATTGACACAGAGCACTCGACTGTAGGAGTGCTTCAAGATGAACCCAATTGTACCCAATCATTCTTCAAATCATCTTTCCAAAAATTAGGAAAACCAATTACTGAAGACAGATCACTCGTCTCCGCAATAATACTATTTCACACACATCGACTGAAAAAACTGCATTTTTGAGTACTSAAAACGTCAATCATCATCAAATAGTCCTGACTTTGGACCTAATGTCCAAATTTTATTCCCGCACGTAAAATATAAACTAATATGTCAACGTTTTTCGGAACCTTCTGGACGCGGTTGATGCGTTCAGAACGCTGATTGCGAGATACCTGAAACAGAATGTCAAAAACTCATGCAAAAGTATGCTATATAGATCTTAATGGAATATTTTGAAAAACAATAAAGCGATTTTCCATGATTAAAATKTGTTTTTATTCTCGAATCACGAAATATGGAAGGCAACTTACGTATATATGTATATGTTGTACAGTCGAATATGCTAACGCGACGGAAAGCTTTTTCTGATAGGAAATGAGCATGGTTGTGATCCGAGTTTGCCATAGGTCAAACATCATTAAGAAAATGTCAAAGGGCAATAAAAAAAACTCAGAGTTTCTTTACAATAGAATATATAATAGAATGTTTTGATATTGAGAATGCTATCGAGTAGTATTCCACTAGTTTACTGTGTTAAACGGCCGCTAATTGACGTTCMTGAGCCAAATGTTTTTACAATACAAAAACGTTATATTTAGGGGTAGTAGCTACTAAACGGACTAAAAATTTATCTGTCCACTTAACGGGTTACATTTACATTTACATGTTTCAAAAAATCTATTTTTTATTGTCTTATTAAATTCTACAACACCTCTAGAATATTGTCCAAATTCGTGTAATAGTTTCGGAAATGCAGCCCTAAGGACTTATGCAACTTGTCTCTAGAACTACTCAACCGATCTTCATGAATTTTTAAACAGGTCTATGAAATACAAATCTTAAAAACTTGGACGAATAATTTTTTTGATTACAACTATTTGAAAAAAAAAATTTCGCGAAATTTTCACTGGATTTTTTTTAATGTCTGTCAAAATCAAATTTTCAGAAAATTTTCCAAATTCTAAGTTAAGGTTTTAACTAAAACGCGTGTTTTTTTCACTTTTGATGATCCTGTAAGGAGTTACYCTGCCAACGCGGGCCCYTTTTTCCGAAGGGTTACCGGAAATTGGGACGCCATTTCCAAAAATTTCAGAATTTCTTTGTTAATAATCATYTCAGTGCGAAATTTACGATAAATTGATTTTTTGTTTTCTATAATGGATAGTATACACTATAGTAAACATTCCCTCAAATGTTGAAATCGAAATTCAAATTATTACGGTCTACTACTACAGCGTTTCTTGGAGAAAGGCAACAGAGTGGGGAATATAGCGACTCCAATCTTTAAACGCKGTTTTCTCAGAATGGTGTTTTTCAAAACGGCTTTAACTATCAAATAAGACTTTTGAAGATATATAGTTCCAATTTGGAGCGAAYATTTTTAACGTAAATTTAAAATGTATTTATTTATAAAAAATCGGACTGATTAGTTAATTTCAAAAATCAGRAAAATCAGTGATTTCTCGTAGGKTCACACTAAGACCCCTCCTCCCTTTTTCACCTCCACTAACAATGAAGGACATCCTAGTTAATTATGGCAATAACAGACCCTGAATTTTACAGCAGAGCACGCATTCACCGATATTGCGCTATAATCAAATAAAAACGTACTATTTTTAATTTCCATTCAATTTYTTAACAATAATTTAATTCATTTTATTATCTTTTCTTAAAATACTACATAATACTTGTTCGCACGTTGTGCACTTAATTGTATTAAATACAAAAAACTATAATTATTAATTTAACATATTTTGCTTTTCATTTCAAATAACCACTTATAATATAATATTGTATATATATTTATGTACGTATAGCATAATAACAGGAAAACATAAAGCACCGACTAATTACAGTGGAAAATATGGTTTTTGCATATCTTCGCAAATAATTCAGTCTTTCGCTTACTTACATACTTACAAATTAAGGTAAAGCTAAGTCGTTTTATGTATGCACATAAAGTTATCATAGTACTCGTATTACGTAACGTAATTGAGGCTACGTAAATAGAAATGATATATACATATGTACGTACGYATATTATTTACAAAGTAATATTTACATACTTATAGTTGCTTTGTTTTCATTTACAAACGCACTGCAATTATATATACTAATGGCGATTGTTATTTCTGTTATTCTCAATCCCTTGCAATACCTAATAATAACAGAGCTTGCTTAAATATGTATTCAACAAATGCAATTAGAAGCAACTTTAACTAATATCACAGTTCTTTTGAGAAAATTTGATTCGTTTTACGGTGTAAATATATACATACATAAACATATATAAATGTGTTCTCTATATACACAATTATACAGTTAGTTACCAATTAGGGCTATCACTTATCGACTTTGACCTATTAGAACACGCTTTACGTTAATCCCGCCGGGTGTGATTCATGCTGACACATACTGTCACATTTAAATCGATTAAATGCATAAACACATGCGCACATATTATTATTGTTAACAACTAAACTTCTCCAACTCATTCACTGTGTAGARATTGATTGCTGGCGTGGTTGGTGTCTGCGGTGTGTGCACACCGCCACCATTACTGTTATTGCTCACATCTTTGTTCGCTGATGGATCCATGGGCGTGAAAGGTATAACGAAGACGCTGGTTTTGGCGTCGTGCTGCATTTTGATCACTGAATCATAGCTGGGCGGTGCAAATTCGCTGTATGATGGCGAGGGTGTGGGCGGTGCAATTGGCGTTTCGTTGCGCAACACGCTGCCTCGGCTCTCCGTGCAGCGTCTGTCCGAGCAGGCCATGAGTAAGAAGAATGCCGCCAGCGCCAGAAATGTGGCCACATACCAAACTATAGTTATGATGTCCATTGCAGTCTGTGACAATTCGTTGGATTGTTCGTGTACTGCTGCAAAAAATACAAAAATAATTACAATTAAACAGTTTATAAAAAAGTATAATCAATAGTTAATTATTCAAGTTTAATTATAGAAGCAATGTAAAAACAAGTACAAGTTCAGCTATACATTGACATGACTTGGCTTAAGTCGCCAGTTGGAAACCGAGTTGATGATTACTGTTAGTCCGTTGTGGTGAAATAGAAAACGCAACGTATGCTGACTGGCTGAACAGCTCGCTACTTTAGGAAGAATTTCATAACTGATTACAGCGATAATTACCAAAACCGAATAAGGGAATAAAAACTGCGAACCCAAATAATGATGGTTCAATGACTTCTTTATCATTTTAGCTCTTTAAAAATAGCATCCTTAATACACATGTAAATGTACAATATGTTAACATAACCTACGGTTCCACTCGTGGAGGTAATTGTACTGTGAAGTACCGAAAATTGCGATTTTACTTTTGATTACTTTAAGGTTACTATTTATACAAAACTACTTATCGATTTATTTTTACATTTCTCTAATTATAGAACTACGCATCTAGTTTTTAATCACAGTTAGTTAAATGTTAGATCACATGGAGTAGTTCGTGATCCAACTAATTCTGGACAAATAATCTATACCGATGGCTCGAAAATGGACGATTAAGTTGGTGCGAGGATATAACCTCGTATTGCATATCGGTCARAAGTGTACTGAGCTTAGCGCAGCAGTGGAAAAAGTTGCCAGAAGTAAGTGACTTTACTTCAACTGGGTGCCAGGCCTTCTGACATCGACGACAATGAAATAGTGAACGATACTGCCAAGAATGGTCTACGACTAACATCCGAAAACCCAATCAGGATAGGGAAACCCATGCATTACCTATAAGATGATCTCGACAGAGGCATAGTAAAACAAGTAAGGAAGGGCTAAGTTCGGGTGTCACCGAACATTTTATACTCTCGCATGATAAAGTGATAATCGAGATTTCAGGCGTGGTTGT